AATCTTGGCCTAGATCCAGGCCCAACCTTACTCAAAATTGGGTTACGAGTTGGGCTCTAGCTTAGGCCTGGGCCTGGGTTCAGGCTTGGGGTGGATCTGGACTAGGCCTAACTATTATTTTATTGTATTTAATTTTTTTCTACCAAAATAGCTTAAAAGTGACATTGGGTCTTGGGCAGGCTGGGCCTTGAAGGGCCTTGGAGCAAGCTTTTAGTGGGCCTGGTTCACTGGTCAGGTTAGGCATCAAAACATACACCCCAGCCCAAGCCTAGGGTCTCAGGCTAGGCTCGACCCCAAGCCTAGCTGGGCCGCATTGAGCTTAGGATGGGCCGGTGGGCCGAATTTATACTCCTACTTAAGTGGTAAATTATGACTAATTGGAAACAAAGGGGTAACAAGGCGGTGGTTTGTCATGATAATATGTAATGTGTCTTTTGTTTGCTAGTATTTTGTTTTAAATTAACAAGGAAACTTATCTATGTATATAAGTTTCAAGTTTGAGATTTGGGTTTGGACCCTTAGGGCACCCAAATTTTGTAATGCGAGGAGTTATGGACAAAATGAATTTAGGCCAAAATTACCACACAAGCACGTTGTTGCCCCACATCGAACTAAAATGGGCTGGGCACGACTGCGTGTTTGTATGTTTGTGGGTCGGGTATTATATTTTTTGATCAAAATTCATTTGAATTTTTTCAATTTATTTTGCACAAAAACGAAATTCGAATTTGAAATTGTTTTGAGCCAAATTTTAATTCGAGTTTCAAATTTTCTGTCTCTTTCATCCAATCACCTCCGTTTTGATCAAGTACATTTTCCAGTTGTGTCTTTCTGACCAATTCCAAATAAGCATGAAGCCATTTTCGAACAGCCACCAAGCAAGCTATAAATAGCCCCTTCCTCATTCCAGAATTAATTCATTCCTTTAATCATTTTTTTCTTTTCGCTTTCTGTTTTCTGCATATTTTTGCATAGTAGTAGTATATTTAGGATTTCTGAGAAAGCAAAAGTTTCAGCATCTGTTTGGTTTGCCAAACTTGGAGGTGTAGTATTGCATCTTCACGTGTAAGTTGTTGCATCCTGGGAAGCAAACACTGGTCAAGCTCGAAACATCAGATTGAAGATGAAATATGCTTTAAGGAGATTGTCTTCAACACAAACCTTGACTATCAATTCTATTTTCTAAAATATTTTGTTGGAGTGCTGTAAGAATTTCATTTATTGATTTTATTTAGAAATTAAATTTTGTAAATTTTTGGGAGATGCAAGAATAAATCCCAAATTCCTATCCTTTGATCCATTTAGTCCTATAACTTTTATCTTTTGAACCAATAAGTCCCATTCCAGTGTTAATGATGAAATAGTCCATGTTTTATAGTGTGGTGCACCATCTAGTAAGGGTAATTGTGGGTTTTTGGAATGTAGAATTTACGACTCTGCCCAAAACCTTACTGTAGAGATTTTTGGTTTCCCTCTTAACCGATTGGAACGGAAGAGACGTATATGAAAATTTCTGGGTTTCCGATGTTAATGGGATAATGTTGGGTGTGTTTGTGCTCCATCTGTGACAGGTAACGTTGAATCCTTGTGGAGTTGTAACCTAAATTAACAATTCCTTTTCCTCCAAAACTGTAGAAAATACAAAACTCCTCATCTGGCATTACATTTACATCGGCGAGTTGGAGCGGCCGTTGCAATGTTGTGTGTTTGTACGCGATGTGTACGACGTGTATCACCGAGTAACCAACCTCCATTCATCGTCGCTGTTGATTGTATTAGTGCCAAATGGGGTCAAGTAAGCTGATCGATTGTCTATTTGAACCCGTGATTTTCTTTGTGCTATTCCTTTTGATCTTTGAGCGTAGTGTGGAATTTTCGACACACCAACAAGATACCATCATCCATACTTGTCACACCAACATTTTCGACCCCATTACAACACTAGCGTATATGGAAAATACAAAACAACAAATGACCTTTGACATGGAAATCATAAAACCAATTGTGCGTGTGTGATGTTAATGGCGCACAACACACCCACACATCACACTACATTAATAGCTAACACTCAAAAAATCATCACAATAACAACAAAAATCAACAACGATACACCACCAACACCTCTCACAAAATAAACATACAAACGTAAAATACACCAAACAATCGAAATACCCACCTGTTACAATATGATTGGCGCAAGCAATAGTGGAACAAACCAAGCAAAACACCACCAAAAAGGGTTCACGCAACCGGATTATTGTCATCACTGGAAAAATGGAACACATCACACTCAATAGCCCAACACTCTCTCTCCGAAACAATGAAATCAATGTCAAACAATCAAGACCCCCTCCTACACGTTACAGTTGCCTTTTTCCATTCAAAACCGAATCACTCATTTAAGAAAAAAAAATCACACAAAGGGTATTCATGTAAATTCAAATGGAACCAAAACACCCTAAATAAAACTTACCAAAAAAATAGGACTAATTGGTTCTTAAGAAAACTCTCAAGACTAAATGGTTTAACTTTCCTCCATATAGGATTTATGGATAATTTTTCCTAAATTTTATTTTGAATTTTTGGTTATTATTTTATACAATTTTGTTCACACACTTACACACAGAGAACCGCTTAGCCTGACAGTCCTTGTATGATCCCTAATTAGGCTTCTCCATACCCAATCTGCAGTTGCACTTCTATTTTTCCTTGGCAAGTTGACAATGCCAAAAAACCATATTTGCGCTCCTATATGCTTTTCTGTGTCTGTTCCAACTGGGAAATTTTAGGGGTAATATATTGTCAAATTACTATTTTTGATCATACATACATATATATATATTTGAACTATCAAAAAACTATAAGTTGAATTTCAAGGACCAAAGAATCCTAGCGAATAGACCATCTCTAATCCATTAGCCCCGTGTAATGTTTTTGGTTGGTTACAGAGTAAAATTAAGAATAGGAATAGAAAACAAACAAGATTGACCAAGAAAAAATACCTGTTGGGAATTGACTATTTTAGTTAATTTTTTGATTTTTTTTTTCTTTTTATCAAAAGACGTGTAAAAATGTAGATAAAATAGTAGACTTTTTTTTGTAGTGACTTATTAACTATTTTAGGGATAAATAATATTTGCTAATATCTTGGTCATCTGACCAATACTCAATTCACAATCTTAGAAACCGTTGATTCAAGAATTAATGTCGGAAGTAAGATTTTCTCTAGACTCATTGATTCACAAGAGAATACCAAGAATAAAAGCACAACAAAAGTTGATTTTCAAAATAACACCGAAGGTTGAGAGAAGGACACTCGGTTCAAAAGTCCAAATTCGAATTTCTTAATGTCTAAGTACAAAATTATTATGTCCATAAAGACATATTTCTGCATAATGACCAAACTACCCTTATATATCTATATATGGAATCTACGGTGGCAGCTGAAGCAAACCCTTCTCTCTCTCTCTCTCTCTCTCTCTAATGGGTTCTCTCTCTAATGGGTTCTTCTCTTCTTGAATCTAGGGTTCCTTTTCTTCCTCTCTCTCCTCCTCTTCCAACCTCCAATGGCGTCCCTTATTTGCATATCTCCCCAAGCCACGCTGGAGAATCTCCACCGTCCAAGCCAAAATCAAAGAGATCTTTATGCCGGCTCTCAGCTCCACTACGACCAAGGGCAAGATCATATCTTGGATCAAATCTGAAGGCGATGTGCTCTTCAAAGACGAGTTTGTCATTGTCATTGAGTCCGACAAGGCCGACATGGACGTCGAGACATTTTACGACGGCATTCTCGCCGTCATCATCGTCAGCGAAGAAAAGATCTGACGAATTTCTTCTACTCATGATTTGTCGTTTGTATATGGATATATATATATATATATGCACATGCATGTACATTGTTTTGATGCTTACCGGCATTGGGAGAATCTGTGATGGTTGGAGCTTGTGATTGATTTAGTGCTTTTGATCTCGTTTGTGTTGGTATTTCTTTCGGATCTGATGTCTAGAACCACCATTCTCTGCTCTTGTATTCTCAGATTCTGCAGCCTCTTCTTGATTTGTTTATTGTTAATTAAGCTTTAAGCATAGTGATTTAAGTTCCTTTCAGTTGATGAAGTTCCTTTTAGTTGAATTTCACCAACATTTCTCTCTCTCTCTCTCTCTCAAATGTCTGTGTGCATATATATATATGAATAGTTCGTTTTGCAAAATTATGAGGACGTAAATAAGACCTAGAGATCGTGTCTTAGCAAGTGAATTCATTTAGTGTTGGGTTTTCTTTTTCTATTTTCTTCTTAAAAATGAAATTTTTCTTGTGTTCTGTTTTTAATGAACTGAGCATTATGGCTATGTGTGGGATATCATCATCCCATGTGAGGGGTGATTCTCCATGTGCTGCAAGAGTTGGCAATGTGCAAAGCCAACACACATGAGCTGGCCATGTTAGGAAGCCAACGCAAGAAGAACCTTTAGCCATGTGAAGAAGGAGTTGGACAAGCTGGCCATGTGCTGGCCAACCCCCCCATCCACCATTCTGAAGTGTATAAATGAAGATGGGTGAGAGGAGAACAGGTAGAGAGAGCAGAGCAAGCCACAGAGAGTGAGATATCTGAGGCAGAGAGACCGTCTCCCTCGGTGTGAGCAAGGGAGACGGGTGAGTGGGTGAGTGAGGAGAGTGTGAGCTCCTCCTCTATTGTAATCTTTCTGTAATATCTCCATTGTTATAGTGATAACCGGCTACTCTCCCGTGGACGTAGGCATTGAGGCCGAACCACGTTAAATATTGTGTCTCCTTGAGTGTGGGTGTGTTTTTCTGCATGGAATAATTTCTATAAGGTCTTGGGCGGGATCCCAGATCCCAACAAATCTAGCCTATTTGTTTGAATGGGGAGTTCAATTCCATTCTGCTAATAGATCAACTACAATGTTGACACTGACTACAACGAAGTGATGGTTCATGAGAGCTTTATTCCATGAAATTGTAGAATGATTTTCTATTCTTTACAATGAGCTGTTCCTACGAAGACAGCTGAACCGTTCAAAGATTGTGAAATATCCTAATGTGACTGAAATATATGATGCTGTCAAACCATGATACCAATGGTTCCTCTTTTATGTTTTGATGAGAAGTAACTATTAAAGCTGTGCTGATTCCGTCCACATTAACAGAAAGGGATCTCGGCTTGGACATGATACTATCATTGATGGCATGCTGAAAGATGGGCTATGGGATGTTTACAATGATTTTGGAATGGGAGTATGTGCAGAGTTATGCGCTGATAAATATACCATTACAAGAGAAGAGCAGGTAGTATTCTTCGCCCATCTTTCTGGTTTAAAGTTTCCCTTGAATGATTTTGTTCATCTCAATTCATGAATTGCTATGTTTAGCAGTCTTCAAATCCATTGTGCAAATGAAAACATTTGAAAAACAAGAATTCGTCCAGAAAAAAAGGACAAATTGGTTGCATTGATCAAGCTATTGCTATCACTCATATTCATTCCACTTGGATGTTTCTTCTTTGCTATATCTGGTTTTCTTTTCTAGGATGCTTATGCTATTCAAAGCTTTCATCGTGGAATTGCTGCACAAAGAAGTGGTGCCTTTGCATGGGAAATAGTTCCAGTGAGACTCCTAGTTTATACTCAATTTGCAAAAAATTGCTGTTTGTAATGTCATTATCTTTGTTCAAAAAATGCCTTTATACATGCAGGTTACTTTATCTGGGGGAAGGGGGAAAGCAGCTACAATTGTTGATAGAGATGAAAGTTTAGGAAAGGTAAATAGCATAATTGGGCATGGGGATTGATTTGTATAAGTTATGTCTTCAATGATGATTTTATGAAGATTCAATTTCTTCTGCTCTATTTGGTGTCTAATACTGGATCAAAAAGTTGTAAAAAACCCCATACCTGCTGACAATGGAAACATAATAAAGTTAATTTCTTTTTTCTGTTCACCCTGACTGTTTTACTTCCCCCTACCACTTTTCTTTTTTTGTTCTTTTCTTTTTACAATCATTTTACAAATTAAGCTGCATGCATTTTTTGTGCCATTGAAATTGTGCATCTAATTTGAGATCAGGGGAAGCCACCCCTTCGCAAGAATGGGTATTTTAACTTTGTTCCTCTAATTCAATTATCGGGTGAATCTAATTGTTTGCACATAAGCTAAAATGGCTCTGGCTATTTGTTTAAGTGGTCTGGTATTCTGAATGCGCAAAATAGAGGGAATGAATCTAATTTCAGTACAGCCAAACAAAGGCATGAGTTTGGATTGTTAAATGCCATCTCCTTGCTTTACAGTGGTTTCTATGCCTGCATTACTGTTGTATTACTATTTTTCTTTTGCATTTGTATCTTGTTAGTTTGATGCTGAGAAACTAAGGAAGCTTCGACCAAGTTTCAAGGAGAAAGGAGGTTCTGTTACAGCTGGCAATGCTTCTATCATAAGGTTCTGTGTGTGGGTGTGTGGGTGTTCTAAAAACTCAACCAAACAGAGAAAATGAATACAATACATAGTTATGTTATCATCCGTGAAAATGGACACTTCATCTTCTTCATTTTCTTGATTTTCACTTCGCTAGTGATGTTGCTGTTTTCATGGACAGTGATGGGGCAGCTGCATTTGTGTTAGTGAGTGGTAAAAAAGCACTTGAACATGCGACCACACAGTGTCTGCTACAACGGTCCGACATGACCCCGTAAACTGTCTTCTACATCGGTCCGACATGACCCCTTAAACTGTCCCGACATTGATCCCGGTCAGCTGTCAGCTTTTACAACGGTCCGACATGACCCCATAAACTGTCTTCTACATCGGTCTGACACGACCACACAGTGTCTGCTACAACGGTCCGACATGACCCCGTAAACTGTTTGCTACATCGGTCCGACATGACCTCGTAAACTGTCCTGCTACAACGGTCCGACATGACCTCATAAACTGTCTCCTACACCGGTCTGACACGACCTCATAAAGTGTCTCCTACAACGGTCTGACACGACCATACCGTGTCTCCTATCCTGTTTTATTTTATTTATCAGTTTACTTTCCTGTTTTGTTATTCTCTTCAAACTCAAGTTGGTTAGTTCCTATCCTCCTTGAGTTTGAGGGGGGCTGTTAATGTACACCTAAACCTACTCCACTACACACTCCACTTCACCTACTCCACTACACCACTCCACCTCCACTTCACCTACTCCACTACACACTCCACTTCACCTACTCCACTACACCACTCCACCTCCACTTCACCTACTCCACTACACACTCCACTTCACCTACTCCACTACACCACTCCACCTCCACTTCACCTACTCCACTACACACTCCACTTCACCTACTCCACTACACCACTCCACCTCCACTTCACCTACTCCACTACACACTCCACTTCACCTACTCCACTACACCACTCCACCTCCACTTCACCTACTCCACTACACACTCCACTTCACCTACTCCACTACACCACTCCACCTCCACTTCACCTACTCCACTACACACTCCACTTCACCTACTCCACTACACCACTCCACCTCCACTTCACCTACTCCACTACACACTCCACTTCACCTACTCCACTACACCACTCCACCTCCACTTCACCTACTCCACTACACACTCCACTTCACCTACTCCACTACACCACTCCACCTCCACTTCACCTACTCCACTACACACTCCACTTCACCTACTCCACTACACCACTCCACCTCCACTTCACCTACTCCACTACACACTCCACTTCACCTACTCCACTACACCACTCCACCTCCACTTCACCTACTCCACTACACACTCCACTTCACCTACTCCACTACACCACTCCACCTCCACTTCACCTACTCCACTACACACTCCACTTCACCTACTCCACTACACCACTCCACCTCCACTTCACCTACTCCACTACACACTCCACTTCACCTACTCCACTACACCACTCCACCTCCACTTCACCTACTCCACTACACACTCCACTTCACCTACTCCACTACACCACTCCACCTCCACTTCACCTACTCCACTACACACTCCACTTCACCTACTCCACTACACCACTCCACCTCCACTTCACATCTCCTATATAATGTACATACAATACACAATCAGATCAATCAATAAATCAATACATAATTCATTCTCTCTATTTCTATACATCAATTTATCTTAAAAAAAAAAAATGTTGTGAGTTAAATTCAACAAATAAAATTGAACAAATGATAAAATTTGGATAGATATTTCAGCAAATAAAAGATTAAAATTAAACAAATTATAAAATTTAAATAGATATTTGTACAGATGGGAAAAAAACATGTAAAATTTGGACAGATAAAAAATTTGCACAGATAAAAATTGGACAGATAGACAAAAAATTTGAAGAAATAGAAGATAAATTTAACAAATAAAATAAATTTGAACAGCTAGTCAATGGAGAGTCAAACAGATAAAAAAAAAGACAAGGGGTAAAATTTGAAACACAATGTCGTTCAGGACTTTTCACCAAACTATTTCACAAAGTGTGGATATCTTACCAAAAAGAAAAAAACAATCACTGGATCTAATGCCTAGAATTGCTAGTGTTTTTAATGATATTAGAAATATATTTCAATTAACAATTCAAATAATTTTATTATTGTATAGGAGAGCAGTTATGCATTTTATTTTTTTTAGTTAATTCTATTAAATAATTTTTTTTGACAAGAGATATTTTTAATTTTTCAAATTGCGAGGAGCAATTTATAATTTAAGTTAATCTCAGGAGGTGTATTAGTAATTTATCATCTCTCGTGATTATTCTTGTTTCCACACTAAAAATAATATAAATGAATAAATAAATAAAATGATCTATTTACACCAAAATGTATAGTTATAGAATTCAAAAGCTACAATCATAAATTACAAAAAATCTAATTTGAAAGTTATAACGATTCCGATCTTGACCCGACATTTGTTGTATCCCGGACTCGGGTTTCGAGGTTTAAATATTATTATTCATGTCTTATTTTCCCTCCTTTGTCTTTGAGTTGGAATATTGAAGTGCCTTGGGTGTGTTCAGAACAGATTGGTTGCTAGTTGGTTCAAAGTGTTGTTGTCCAGATTTTGGTTTCTTCGCTCGAGCAAAGCTTCTTGTGCTCGAGCGAGCTTTGTGAGCTCCCAGTACTTTTGCAAGCCTGCAGAGATATTGGGAGGGTAGTGTTCTTCACTCGACCGACGTTTCTTGCGCTCAAACGACAGTTTCTATGCTCGAGGGACTCTTCTTGCACTCGAGCCAGGCCACTTATTGTGTCTGGTTGCTCCAGCGACAACTCTTATGCTCGAGCGAGCCTTGCATATATCAATTCGCAGAAACACCTTTTTACATCACTTTTGATTTCTTTTCACTCAAAAACCCTAGATCAGCTCCCTCTCTCTCTAAAATCCTACTTCTCTCTACAAATACACTAAGATCTAAGGATCTCTCTACCCTACTCCTTTTGATTAAAAGGTGGAGCATTTCAAGGGCTACCATTACATCCGAATAGAGTTTGGTTTTGACATTTTTGAAGTTTCTTTACTCCCCATTTGGGCTTCTATACCTGAGGTAGGGATTTTCTACACTTTCATATGGTCCTTAACTTAGTTATTGGTTATTGTGATATAATTGTGGGATTTGGGAGTAGTTTGGACAAACCTAGGGTTTGGGATCTAAAATCAAAAAGGGGTTTCTAAGTGAATGTGATATAAATGGCTATGGGGTTTAAAAATGAGGTCGTATTGTAACAAAATAGTTGATTTTGGCATTTGAGTTGATATTTGGGAAAGAGAGAAGTTTTCCCTAAAATGCTTCAAATGGTTATTTGCTATAAATAAGTGAAATTGGTGTTATAAATATGAAATTGGATGGACGTTGATATAAATGGTGGAGTTAGATATGTATTACCTCACACCTAAGGAAATTTGAATGAAATATCTCTTTAAAGATTGAATATCTATTTAGAAATATCTATATTGAGCTATCGATAGAGTATAGCTATGATTGTTGTAGAAATTGCATGAGGATTAGGTAAATTGAAACTAATCTCCTGTTTATTGTCATTGTAAATGACTATGTTTTAATACACTGTATATGTATGATGTTTGGAAAGAGAAAGGGAATGTACTTCATGTTTGGGAGGAGATAGGAGATGGACTTCATTAAATTAAGTTGGCTGGAGTGTCCAGTGTGAAAGTCCCGAAAACCGCGCGTATACATGGGTGTCGATCTCGCGCACAAAATGTTCGTAAAATGGCAAATTGAAGTGCTTGTATGATATCTGTGCTGATTTGAGACCACTAAGTTGTAGTCTCAGTTGGGTTGTATGGAAAATAATAAGTATCAAATCATGAATTGAGATGAGATGAATTAACTAGGAATGAATTGAAGGAAAATGGATTGAGGCATGAAATTTGGTACTTTTTGATCATATAGACATGAATGTTTTGTCATAGTACTTATATCTTTGTTAAGGTCGATATACTGTGTTAGAATGTTTCTACTGGGTTTTGGCTCACCCTATTTGAGGAAAACCATTTTTAGGTATTGGTGATATGCCTCCGCCAAGACAATAGCTTGGAGAGACTTTGGGGCAAGAGATTCCTTTCGTTGCATTTTCTTTTGTATAGCCCAGGGCTTTATTTGTATTGAGCTAGTCTCGCTTTTGTTGTAACCAAGATATGACTTGGAAATATGTAAGCCTTTAGGGCATAGAAATATCTGTTTAACTTTCATTTCTCTTTATTACTCGTAGCACATGCTGTAGATTTAAGATGAACTATTTGTGAATGTGTATTGCATGTGCCACTTTTGTATATCAATTCAAGTTAATGAAAGTTTATTATTTCGATTATGTTGTCTTGCGTTAATTGTATTGGGTTGGATTATTGTAATTACTTTCGGGGCGTTACAACTTTGTATCAAAGCGTACTGGGTTTGAATACTTCGGGTACATGGGAAGTGGTTAGTACCACAATGGGTTTGTCTCGCTTTCTAGAGACTTTAGTATGAACGATGTGTGCTTATATGATAACATGCTTCTGTGATTATATGGGTATGGGATTTAATTTCTAGGATGTTGATTGAGTCCACGGGTTGCCGAAAGTCCTATTGGAAGAGAAATTGATCACTACTATTTTTAATTGGAACTTTGGCAATGTCGCGGGACGGTCACTATCCGGGGAATGAAATTTGTATGTGTTTATGTGATTACGTACCTATGTGGAATGAATTACTGTTGTCCACCGTTTTAGGACGCAAGTTAGTTAGCTTCGGCACATTTGTAAATGTGCTAATCTCTTTTGTTACCTTCATTAGGATGTCATGACATTGTTGTGGAGGTAGGTGTGGTAGGCCTAATTGGCATGAGATGCCTTTACTGGATGGGATTCTGGTGCAGGAAGAAGGAGTTGGTCAGGCCAACATGGCCGAACCAGTTGGTCAATAGGCCATGGGTGCCTTAGCCCGTGAAATGGCCAAAGCATTGAGGGAATCCATGGACATTCTCAGAGCTGAGAATTAAGTCTAGGCCTAAGCCGAGGCAGGGCCTTCTTTCTTGAAGCAAGAGTTTTTTCGGTTGAATCCGGATGAATTTGTGGGTGATCCCGTGGTGCCACTGAAGGCAGATGAGTGGCTGGAACAAATAGTGAAAACGTTCGAGATGCTTGGCATCGAGGACAATCAGCTGAGAGTGACCTTGGAATCATTCCATCTGAAGGGGGATGCGGGTTAGTGGTCGAAGTATGCGCGTGGGCGCATTGGGGTGACTTGGGAGGCCTTTGTCAACGCCTTCCAGGACAAGTTTTTGCCTCTTGCAGTTAGGGAGAAGTTGATAGACCAGTTCTCTAAGTTGGTGTAGTTGAACACACCAGTGGCTAAGTTTGAAACCACCTTTACTAGCTTGTCTAGGTTTACTCTTGAGCTTGTGGCGACCGAGGAGCGTCGTTGCTTGGAGTTTGAGAAGAGATTGAGGATCGGGCTCATGTTCAGAGTGGTCGGATCCATGATTAGAGATTATGGGCTCCTTGTGGAGGCGGTGACCCATCTTGAGACCATTATGCAGATGGAAAATGAGAGGATGGGGGTCTCCAAGAGGAGTCAGGAGGTTCAGGGGGACAGTAAGAGGCAGAGGGATTCTAATCCCCAGACATCCCAGGGAGTTCAGTCGAGGTACACTTTTCTAGTTCCGAGTTCGGGTTTTGGTAGAGGTGGTCAGGGAGATGTCACTCGTTACAAATATGGCTAGTTGGGTCATAAGTCTTCAGCTTGCCCGCAGAGAGGAAGAGGGCAACGACTTGCATCGTCTTTGGCTCGCTTTCAGAGCCAGAGTCAGGGGAGAGGCCAGCCGCTCATTTGTTATCAATGTGGGTAGGCGGGGCATATGAAGAGATTTTACCCACAGTTTGGTAGCACACCTGGTGCGTCTGGTTCGATACAGACATAGAGTTACCAGCCAGCACAGTTAACACAAGCCTCAAGAGCCAATTAGGGAGCCTCTTCGGCTCAGTCTGTGCAATAGACCTATGCTTCGAAGGGTGAGCAGGTAGATCAGAGGCCTACAGAGCGTGTGTATGCTGTTACTGCGCCAAATCTTGTACCAGCGCCTTCGGTAGTGAGAGGTAGGGGTGTGCATAATACTGGCAAAATCACCAAAACTGCACCGAACCGCACCGCCAAGGCAAATTCGTTATTATTTGCCAATCAAACCGCAAATATTTTGTGGTTACAACACTTGTGGCTCAAATGATCTGAAAATGTCAAAACGTAGTCGTTTTGACATTTTTAGAGTTATTTTGTACCTAAAACAATATCATTTTGATATTTTTAGACAATTTAAGTCACATAATTTGTGACTACCAATCATTGCCGAGATTAAAAAAATGAAACTTTGCTCAAAATTTGAAGGAGTGTGAAATAATTTAGCTAAAAATTAAAAAAGAAAAGGAAGAGAGAAAGCAATGACAGATTGGTGATGCATAGAGAGACGTCAGTGACACTAGAATTGCTGACTGTGCGAAAGGAGCGGCCCAGCGTTACAAAGCGCCATTCAAGGACGGAAGTCCACGTGTACGGTTGGGATGGGGCTAACCCACGTGGGCTGACATGGCAGTTAGCATTTCTCTGTCTTTATTTAAAGGGTGTTGCTAACCCACATATATATATATATATATATAAATAAAAAAACAAAACAAAATATAGGTTAAAATATATATATATATATATATATAATCTGAGTGTATAGATTCAAATATATATATATAACATCATTGATATATAGTTTACCTGTTGATGGTTTTTTAATATATGACATAATCTGAGTCTATAGATTCAAATATATATATATATATATATATATATATATAACATCATTGACATATATATAAATAAAAAATCAAAAACCAAGTTACCTGTTGATGTTTTTTTAATATATACTAGAAGCATGACATAATTTGAGTCTATAGAATCAAAATTTTTTTTTTTTTGTTGTACCTGATAAGTTTTTTTACTCTGCAATGTTTTTTTACTCTACAATTTTATTTTTTTATTTTTAAATAGAGTTCAATATTGTTAAATTCTATTAAATCCAACAAAAGTTCATGTTAAAATTCAGTATTCAATTTTAATTTTAGTTCAAATTCAGTATTCAATTTTTTTAAAAGTTATTTACTAGTTTGTTAATGTTTAATGTTACATTAGATGAATATTTTGATTTTGACTATTTCAGTTAATTTATAAATTAGATCTTTTTACTCTTTGATTCAAGTTTTATAATTTGAATTACATTTTTTATAAACCGCCAATCCGCCTGAACCGTTAAGGCAAATCCTTCATTATTTGTCAACCGAACCGCCGGTTTTTGATAAGAAAAATGGCAAATTCTAATGACATTTTTATTAATCCGCCACTCGCCATACGGTTTCTATTTTTCTCTTAAACCACATCGACCCGCACCGTGCACACCCCTAGTGAGAGGTACCTTCTTGTTTTGCAATTCAGTTGCTAATGTATTGATTAATACAAGCGCATCTCATTCACTTGTCTCGTCTGCATTTGCATTGATTTTGGGATTAGAGTTGGCTCAGTTAGCATCTCCTATTTGTGTAGAGTCACCTATTGGTGGTGAGGTTGTTTTGAAACATGGGTGTCGGGGCTATGATATCGAGGTTGCTGGTCGCTGACTTCGTTTTGCATTTGTATTGATTGATATGTCTAGTTTTTACGTTATACTGGGTATGGATTAGTTGTGATCCTACTAGGCTGTTATAGATTGCTACCGTCAGAGGGTTACTCTATATACCTTGAGCAGTGAGCTCTTTCATTTCATGGGGGACCTGGTTGATAGAGTCTTATCGCCGGTGTATGATCCACGTGGACGGAGTGAACCTAGTTGCCTTCTCGCCAACTTTTTAGGCAGTGAGTGTGATGAAGTCCGGGTTGAGTTAACCAGGGTAGTTTGTGAATACCCAGATATTTTTCCAGAGGATCTTATTAGTTTACTACCTCACCGAGATATTGAGTTCTCTATTGACTTAGTGCCTGGCACGACACCTATTTCTATGGCACTGTATCGGTTTGCACCAACTTTTTAGATAAGGGTTTTATCTGCCCCAGTACTTCGCCTCGGGGAGCACTGGCTCTTTTTACCAAAAAGAAAGATGGTGTGTTGCGACTTTGTATAGATTACCGGAAGTTAAACCGGGTAACTGTTAAGAACAAGTATCCAATGCCTTGTATAGATGATCTGTTTGATCAGTTGAAGGGATCTTGTTGCTTTTCTAAGATAGACTTGAGGTCGAGTTATCACTAGCTGAGAGTAAAGGAGAAGGATATCCAGAAAATAGCATTCCGCACTCGGTATGGCCATTATGAGTTTCTATTGATGCCCTTTGGACTAACCAATGCACCGGCTATGTTTATGGATTTGATGAACTGAATCTTCCGTGAGTTCCTAGATCATTTCGTGGATGACATTTTGATTTACTCACCCTCTGAGGAAGAGCGCGAGGAACATTTATGGGTAGTACTTGAGCTACTTAGAGCCCACAAATTATATGCTAAGTTTGGGAATGTGAATTATGGCCGAGAGAGGTTAAGTTCTTAGGCCATGTGGTATATGGAGAGGGGATAACTGTGGACTTATCCAAGATAGAGGCAATGCAGGATTGGGAACCACCTAAGAATGCCATCGAGATCCGTAGTTTCTTGGGGTTGGCCAAGGTATTACCATATATTTGTTAAGGATTTCTCTAGGCTAGCCTCACCATTGACTAGACTGACGAGGAAGGGAATCAAGTTTATGTGGAGTGAGTCATGTGAGAAATCATTTCAAGAGCTTAAGGTTAGACTTACCACCACTCCAGTATTGATTATTCCGAAGAAGGGTTTGGGCTATTCAGTATACTATGATGCTTCACGGGAAAGTTTGCGTTGCGTTTTGATGCAAGAGGGGAAGGTAGTAGCCTATGACTTGCGGCAATTGAAAACACATGAGAGATACTATCCTACTCATGACTTAGAGTTAGCGGTGGTGATCTTTGCCTTGAAGATTTGGAGGCATTATTTGTATAGTGAGAAGTTTGAGGTGTTTTCTGATCACAAGAGTCTGAAGTATCTGTTTACACAGAAAGACTTGAATTTGAGGCAGAGAAGGTGGATGGAGTTCATATAGGATTATGATTTTGAACTACATTATCATCCAGGGAAGGCCAATGTTGTGGCCGATACTTTGAGTAGGAAATCAGTTAACAATGTAGCATGTATAGCCATTCGGGGATGAGAGATGTTCGGGAGTTTGACTTGCATCTTGGCGAGTCCACTGAGTCTGTAGCCTTGTTTTTAGTTGTTGCACAACCTACACTGGTAAACCGAGTGATAGAAGCACAGAGAGGTGACCTTGAGGTAGAAACCCTCCGAGAGAAGATCTCCAATGGGAAGGTGCAGAAGGGCTTGAATGTGTAGCTCGACCTGAGTGTGAGATACCGTAATCGTTTGTTTGTACCGGGGTCTTGCTGAGAGGAAATACTCCAAGAGTTTCACCATTCACACCTTACGGTGCATCCGGGAGGCACAAAGATGTATCACGATCTTAGTCGCCAATTTTGGTGGAGAGGTATGAAGAAGGATGTAGCCGTGTTTGTATCAAAATGCCTTACTTGTCAGCAAGTGAAGGCTGGGCATCGAAGGCCAGCGGGTTTGTTGCAACCCTTGCCTATAGCCGAGTGGAAGTGGGTGCATGTCACGATGGATTTTGTTATGGGCCTTCCGAGGACTCAATGGGGGCAGTGATGCCATTTGGGTGGTAGTTGACCTGTTGACATAGTCGGCGCACTTTTTACCTATGCGTGTGAGTGACTTGGTAGACTATCATGCCAACCTTTATATCAGGGACATAGTGAGATTGTACGGGGTCCCTGTGACAATTGTTTCGGATAGATATCCACGTTTTACAGCTCGGTTGTGGTAGAGCTTATAGAGTGCCTTGGGCACTAAATTGACCTTTAGCATCGTGTATCACCCTCAGACTAACGGGCAGTCTGAGCGTACTATTCAAATCCTTGAGGATATGCTTCGAGGTTGTGTCCTAGACTTCAAGGGGTCGTGGGAGAGGCACCTGCCCTTAGTGAAGTTTGTCTATAACAATAGCTTCCATTCGAGTATTGGCATGGCACCATTTAAGGCTTTATACGGCCGACCATGTAGATCTCTAGTGTGTTAGGCCGAGGTGGGTGATGCACCTTTGTTGGGGCCGAAGTTGGTTCGGGAAACGACGGAGAAGGTGACACTTATCCGTAAGCAGTTAGTTACGGCTCAGAGTCACCAAAAAAGTTACGCCAATCATAGGAAGAGACCTCTGTCTTTTGAGGTGAGAGACCATGTCTTTTTGAAGATATCACCTAGGCGAGGTTTGATGAGGTTTGGGAAGAGTGGGAAATTGTCCTCTCGATTTATTGGGCCTTTTGAGTTTATTAGGCTTTTTGAGATTCTTGAGCAGATCAGAGAGGTAGATTACCATTTGGCGTTACTGCTACAAATCTCCAGGGTACATGACGTGTTTCATGTTAGTATGCTTCGGAAGTATGAGCCGAATCCATCATACGTGTTGGATTGGACCAACTTAGAGGTGGATGAGGATGCCTTATATGAGAAGAGACTGATGAGAGTCTTGGATACCCGGGACCATGTCTTGCGAGACAAGACAATTCCTTTGGTTAACGTATTGTGGAAACATCACGGGGTTGAGGAAGCAACTTGGAAGCGTGAGTTGGAGGTCCCTGAGAAGTATCCAGACCTATTTATTGATGTTTGATTATGTATTGGACTTTGTTATGCTAATGAAATATGAGAACATTGTATATGTCGTTTATGTCTTGGAAACATGGATGCCATATAAGCATTGTATACGTTTTGAGAATATGGAATATTGTATTTATTGCATCACTTTTGGAAACATTGCATATGTTGTGTAGATTTTGGGGAAATTGGGTTTATCATAAACATTGTAAATGCTTTGGAATATATGAATTGTATTTCAATGCTGGAACTCGTGTATTGAGTTTATGAGAATAGATGACCAGAGAATAGGTCATGGTGATTGAAATTGATAAATTATCAGAGTTGACAATAATTTGAAAATGGTTTTGCACTTGTATTGAAATTTCGGGGACAAAATTCCTTAAGGGGGGAGGTTATAGCGATTCCGGTTTTGACCCGACCTTTGTTGTATACCAAACTTAGGTTTTGCGATTTAAATATTGTTATTCATGTTTTATGTTCCCTTCTATCTTTGAGTTGGAATATTGGAGTGCCTTTGGTGTGTTCGAAATAGGATGGTTGCTAGTCGGTTCAAAGTGTTGTTGTCCAGATTTTGGCTTCTTCGCTCAATCGAAACTTCTTGCGCTCGAGTGAGCTTTGTGAGCTCCCAGTACTTTTGCAAGCCTGCAAAGATACTAGGAGGGCAATGTTCTTCGCTCGAGCAACGATTTATGTCTGTAAAACTTCTGGAGGTATGTATTCTGTGCTCGAGCGAGGCCACTTATTGTGTCCGGTCGCTCGAGTGAGCCTCGCGTATATCAGTTCGCAGCTGCACCTTTTTACATCACTTTTTGATATCTTTTCACTCAAAAACCCTAGATCAGCTCCCTCTCTCTCTAAAATCTGACTTCTCTCTGCAAATACACTAAGATCTAAGGATCTCTCTACACTACTCCTTTTGATAAAAAGGTGGAGCATCTCAAGGGCTACCATTACATCTGAATAGAGTTTGGTTCCGACGTTTTTGAAGTTTCTTTACTCCTCCTTTGGGCTTCTAGACTTGAGGTAGGGATTTTCTACACTTTCATATGGTCCTTAACTTAGTTATTGGTTATTGTGTAATAATGGTGGGATTTGGTAGTAGTTTGGACAAACCTAGGGTTTGGGATCTAAAATCAAAAGAGGCGTTTCTAAGTGAATGTGACACAAATGGTTATGGGGTTTAAAAATGAGGTTGTATTGTAACAAAATAGTTGATTTTGGCATTTGAGTTGATATTTGGAAAAGAGGGAAGTTTGCCCTAAAATTTATTTCTCTCGGTTTTGTGTCTTTGTTTGTTATGTATATTCAAATTGCAAAACAAATTATTTATGTTTGTTTTTTTATGGCCCAAAAGCATATCTGAGAAGGGGGGAAGGCCTCAAAGCAAAGCCCAAGAATAAAATTTCAAAAAAAAAAGAGTCAAATTTACAAACCGCCTTTAACCGCCCGCACAACCGCACGACCCACCCACGCAATCCGCAACCCACATTGCTGGTGAACGCGGTTCCATTTTTTTCCAACCCGCACCCCATCGGATGGGTCCAACCCGTCATCCGAACCGCATGGAACCAATCCGTGACCACCTCTCATACCAACCAATCAACTCTTTTCAAACTCTTCTCTCCCATTTTAAAGTTATTTGCCACTTCATTAGAGATGTGTAATTAGGGATGATGAATGAGAGACGTAGCAAAACTTTTTATTATGACATAGGACGTTTTCATTAATAGCAAATTAATAAGACTTATCGGTGTATAAGTTTCATATATGAGGACATGGTAATTGACAATGGTCAATTTAGTTGTCCCTTGAGATAGTAAAAATGTCAGAAGCTTAGGATTCGAGTCAATAGAGCGACTGTGACCCTTTTATTGTGACTTAACTTACTAATCTCATAACATCATATCATATGGTTAAAAAAAAAAATCATATATGAGATTTTTTATTAAACCCCTGCTCCCAAAAGTTTAGTGTCTAGGTAACATTGTTTAATGGTTGAGAAGATGAAAGTTGAAAAATATTGTTTTCTAGAATTGTCTTCTTCATTCATAAATTAAGGACTTGATGTATTAAAGAAATGAATACTGTTTTAAAAATTATTTGCAGGAAATTAAATACTCTGTTTTATTCCTTTAACCTTTTTTTATTTTTATTATCCTTTTTTTATTAAGCAACTCCATTACTTGTTCTATAAAAATCCGATTTTCTTATCTTCAATTGGCCTCATCACCCTCAGTTTTGATTGTTCGAACGGCCACCATTTACACACTCCAGTGTCGGTCAACCTCCCCCGAAGAAACAGATTTTTTTTTTTTTTTGTGACTGCCAATGATGTACTTTATGATGGGTTTAGTTGAGAGATTTGAGAAGAGATTTAGAAAGGAAAAAGAAAAAATAGGTGAAATGTAAATAAAATATATCAATATTTTACCTAATTTTACACACCTATTTTTTATTTTTATTTTTATTTTTTGGAATTTGGCTCGCCATGTTTTCCATTTTGACTTGGAAGACACCACGCACTATCGATTGAGTTCATTTGTTGACATGAATTTTACATATCTAATGATTATAAAATAAGAATATAAATTTAGAATTAATTTAAATTAAAATAGATCATTACACTTATTATTTGATGATGTAATGAAACCTCTCTATTATAAATCTACAATGGAGAGGTTTACAATCCTGTTCACATCCATTAATGCGCGTTCGGTGCAATAAAAAATTGAGAAGGATATTTTCAGAAGCATAAAAATAAACAAATACCCAAACTTTCCTTCCGTTTTTTATAATAATAATAATTATTATAATTATAGTTTATATTTAGATTTAGATGAGCTCTATATTGTCTTAATAGTTGTTGATCTCTTTCTTGTATTATCTATTGGTTGTTAATGCTTGAATTACGAAATTGTGTTGTTATACTTTTTAAATAGTTAATAATTCAATTTGACTTAATTCTCTTGACATTTAATAGAAAAAGAAAAAAAATAAAAAATCTTTGGTGTTACTACTAGTACGAGCTCCCATTGATTTTTTTTTTTTTTAGTAAATAAGGAGCATTTCGTAGAAGCTCCCATTGATTTTTGGAAGTTGTTGTTAAATGTTTTGGGGTGGTTAAGGATTGACTTTTTTATTGATTTTTTTATTATTTTTTTTAATTTTTTAATTTTTCTTAGATTTTTAGAATTTATTCAACTAGACAACTAGAAAGGTTAGAAAAAAAAAAATGGAAAATTGAAGGAAAAAATCATTAAAATTTTAAAAAATTAACATTAGCTTATTTTTGTAGTATGTTTTTTCTTTTTCTATTTTTTTTTAAAAGATTCCTCTACACTAGACAAATCAAAAAAAATAAAATAAAATTATGATACAAATTTAAAAAACAAAAATCTTTAAAAAAATCTAGAAAAATTTACCCATAAATCCTATATGAGGGAATATTGATCCATTTAGTCCTAAAAGTTTACTCATGAACCA